GCAATGCTGTCATCGAAGGCAGCCTGGGACTCAACGAGCAACTTCGCGACGAAAGTCATGAAGGAGCTCTGTGAAGAAGAGCGCCATCGGAAAAATTCTGCATAGGAGAGGAAGTTACCAGAACCTCCTACTCCCCCCTAACATCTGAGTGAGGACGTACGGCACAGCGTTTAGCCAGAGGAAGAGCAATCGCTAGAATGTCCCCTCCGCGAAGTAATGCCTGCCGACGGTTTCGTGGGGAGTATGTAGTAAGAGGAAACTGGTCTAATTGGAGGTTAGTCGGTATTGACAGTCTCTCCGAGACTCACCTGACAGAGGGAACCATCGATCCCCTCCCTCAGGTAGTTGTGCGTAAATGCATTCTCCCAACAGACCAAGGAAAAAAAACACACACAACCACATATACAACCACACACAAACACACACGTGCAGACGTTAGAGATAGAACTGGAGTATGTGAGAATATTTTCCCGGGTTGTTCACCCAGGAAAAATCCAAACTACTTTTTTTTGCCGTCTCTATCGCTTCCGACCCTTCTGGCATAATTTCTCTTCCCGAGTATTTCTACTCGGGAGAGTTTCAGAGTTATCTGGGAATCAGTCGGGACTCCTCACAGCCTGGGACGTTGAGAGGCTGATCTGACCAGGGTGGAACTACGTTACCCACGCTACGACCACTCATACTCTCAACCACCAATTACTGCTTCGGTCATCGCGCGGCACTGCCTCCGGGGAGTACTAAACTGTCGGCGTATGATCGGGCCGACAGGAGGATTTCTCTACTCCAGGCCCACCGGCCCATACGCCTCGAATCGTTCCGCCGAGACTAGATAAGGCCGGACACAACAAAGTCATCACTTCGCGTTCCGAAATAACTCTGTTTTCCGCGCGGGGGATGCAGGGGCATCCGCCTATATTCGCCGCCACAGTTATGTACCAGGCTACGTGGAGTAAAAACACCTTTACATGTCTTACCCAGCCATCCACCATTCCGGCACACCGAGAGATTTTTCCAACCTCCTCGATTCAAGCGCTCGCGTTCGACTCTCTCGGAATCTCACTAGGCCCTTGCCTCCTAGTCTGGATATCTCGGCGACGATAGGTCATTCCGTTGCCCTATACCCACCAATCATCCCGACGGCATCACGGAAGTGCCAGTCCTTTCGCCTGGCTATGTTGGTTTCTAGTCTACCCCGACATAGCCTTTAGAGTCGCACGTTTGGAACACCTGTACGTCAGGCCACTTTCCCCTAAACACAGCTAGGCGAGTTCTAAAATAGCAGAAATCTAATAACGTCCTCTAGACTTCCAGGGATCGCGGTTCCACCCAAAAAACCGCTATGCCTTCGGCCTGTCATCAGTCTGTGGCTCTTCTCATCTAGTCACGGCTCTTTCAGCCGCCTCTAGATGTCTTCTTCTGTCTCTTTTCAGAAATTTTTTAAGAGTTCAGATACTTATTTCAGGAGATTTCAATCCGTAACGAGAAAATCTCGTTACAAGTGATAGAGGCGGAAGTGACAATGCCCCTCTCTCTCATGCTATCTCGCTCCATTTCTCTGAAGCCTTGACAGTGGCCATGGATTTGAATTATTGTCGAAGCCCAGCCTTATTTGCATATTTCGCCGGTCATGTGCTGTGCGGTCACGCAGGCTATACTTGTCAGGTATATAACGCGAGGGTCATGTAGTTTATGACATCTTTCTTTGGGAAATCGAAATCATGCTGCATCAGCAGCATAGATGATAGATGATAGATGTATGAAAGATGTGGAGTATTGGTACGTGGAGATTAAGATATTTGATGTTGTGTCGGCGATTATTGTACCTTTAGAATGTTGTACTTTTTCCTCACGCTGGGTGATTCTGCTACTGAATCTGATGATCGCTCGGTGGTCGTGAAACAAGCCAGGATTCCGCGTTCACACCCTACCCTCACTCTAATACAAACAACGTTATTCCTAACCTAAATGTTGGAGAGTCGATGCATGCGAGTATTTCCCGAATTTAATTATACAAGGTGTCCCGTCTGAAACAAAGCAGCGCAATACCTCCTGAGGCGGGAAAATAGCAAAAAAAAGTTCGAAACACAAGTCGTGGCATTTAAAGGGGGACATTCGATGCATCCATTATTTTGAACTTTCGGGATCACGCTTGCAAACTGCAAGCACAAAATACATTTTTTTGAATGGCAATCGCATTTTCTACCCCAATGAAACTGGTTGCTCTTGATAAACTGTTTCTTGATACCTCATTATTCATATAATTTCCTCTAATATTACTCCAGAAATGCCACAATAACGACTTCTGTTGTGAACTTGAGGATTCAGACTTTTTTTTAGCGTGACCCAGGGTGCACCACGTGGAGGTAAAGTCTGCTTCGCGGTTGGTCGTGCTGAAAAAAAAGTAGCGCGAACATATGTGGTAGTACATGGGCGTTTACAGATGTTCAATGTTTCCACTGTTAACTTGCAGGCATAACTTAATTCGACGGCGGAAATTTTCATGAGCCCTTCGAAGAACTTGTGGAGTAATGTTGTAATAGCCTCCCTGATACGTCTCTGTAACCCACTGTAGTGGTCGGTTCATACGTGTGAACAGCTTCTTTGATGACGCTCCACAAGTAGAAGTCGACGGGCGTATGATCCGGGGATCGTGGAGGCCACAAAATGTAACCAGCCCGACCAATCCAACGATTCTGGAAGCAACCGTTCAGATAATCGCTTACAGCTCAAGCGAAATGAGGGGGGGCCCCATCCTGCTGGAACTATCTTCTCTGTCTTGTCTGCAAGTTCATGTTCTCCAATAGTACTGACAGCTGATTACCTACGAATTCCAAGTAATTCAATCCGGTGACAGTTCCATCGAAAACGTATGTGCCTATCACTTGCCCGTCAACAATTCCGCAACACACGTTTTTGTGGCATTTTTCGAGTAAATTTAAAAGGAATCACGTGAATGATGAGGTATCTCAAAACAACTTATCAAGAAGAACAAGTTTCATTGGGCTGAAAAATACGGTTGCGATTTAAAAAAAATTCTTTGTGCTGGCAGCTAGCAAGCATAATCCTGAAGACTCAAAATAATGCATGCATCGAATGTCACCCTCGGAACCCACACAACTTGTTTTTCGATATTTGGCTGCTTCGTTTCCGATGGGACACCCTCTATATGTTCTTTCCCCACAAGCTTAATCGAGGAAATCACGAATGCCTTCGTTGCACCGTCAATAATCGCTAGGAATCTTATATCGATTGGAAAACTCGCGGAATAAGGTTATACTTGACACGCGAATTGTTTAATTCCGACCATTGCTCATTGAGTTATTGAAATTTTGAAACAGGAAATGAGTTTCCATGTTTCACACCGTAATTAAATGATTATCCGATTCCATACATTTCCTAGTCAAATTAACGAGAATATTAATCCTAAAAACAAAACAGGCCATTCTTCAGTAAAGTAGAGTCCGACTTGAATCAAGAATTTTTTTACTTGATTCAAGTAGGAAGAATATGATCCAATTCGATTTTCGAACTTATTACGATTATGAAAGAAGATGGTTTCATGAAAGTTGGTATTAAGTAGAGAGTCAACTTAAATCAAATACAGCGTCGAACTAAATCGTGCGGCAAACTTGACTTGACATTATTGGGATAAACTCAATACAGGTAGAAAGAATCTACTTCGAATGAGAAAAGTCTTGACATAATTGAATCCTGCTCAGTTCAAGTAGAGGCTCGCCTTTCAATGGAATTTTTTATTGTGTACAGACATTACATTTTTTCAATTTACTCAGATCATTACAATTTAGATTTTGTTTATTATTAGTGAAGTTATTAACAGAGTGAAGTCCATCGGTCGACCAGACCAAGCACTTGAGTCAAGAATTCGAAAATCAAGAATTGATTCAAGTATCCGTATCAGCGTCCTGCCGCCTAGTTAACGCGTCCCGCGCAGTTTTATTTAATATAGAGTATATAAAATATAAGACTAGTTAATTGAAACTGTAATTTCAGATTTTTCTGAAAAAATGGGAAACAATCGTTTTGAAACCATGAATATGCAGGGAATCAAAATCATGATCTGAAATATTGCGCACAATTGTATTTCATGCCGGTGGACGCAAAATGTAAATTTCCCTCTCGTTTTACGAAAACGAAATCTGACTTTGCGCCTTCGTCGAGAAGAAAAATGCGGTTCTAACCACAGAAGGTAACAAAGGACACGCATGACTCCTTTATTTTACTCCTCTAGGTTAGCAATCTACTATTTCATCACTGCTGCTACGTTCACCTTGTATATAAAAGGACCCCTCCATATACTCGTAAACGAAAAGCCTATTCATTTATTTGTTAACGAAAAAGGCATAGTTTGCTACTCGTTGAATTTAACATTAATGATGACTTAAGCTCATAGAAAGGAGAGTTATTTGCTGGAGGGATTCTCTAAATGTTCTTTCATTTACTCTATTTCTCTTGGATGATTACAATTCAATTGCTCCTGTGGAGAAAGCACTGGCTAGAGTGTCGCCCCGAAGTGTTCACGATCGTCTTTCAGCTCTACACCTTCTTGGGTGACTGGAAAGTGGAAAAACACTTTCTACATAAGAGCGTTCATATCTATACGACGAGTTAAAACACAATGAAAGGGAAAACAAATTGTACAACCCTATCTTTATGGGAATATCCTGCCAACTTAATAAATTGTCATTTGTAAGTTGTGAACTACCATATGTCATCTAGTAGTTTATAGATGAATCAAAATGAAATTTATGGTGAAAAATTCCTCGACGAAAATCTGAACAGAATTATTTTCAATAAGAAGTTAGAATATATCGGACGCGTCAATTGGAAAGAAGTACGAACAGGCTGTCGCATTTTGTGATATGGGTCGGTTGAAATTCAATAGAATTTTACATAAACTTTCTTATCGAATGCACTCGAATTTTCTGTTCGACTCTTTAGTCAGTGGAAAACTGCTATTAACATATTTCATACTTCTATAGCAGATTTGGGCGGTGCGGGAACGCGTGGGCGAGGGGTGTCTCCTGGATGGATACTGCTTCAAATATGATGTATCTCTACCCCTTCCTTACTTCTATAAGCTCATTGGTGCATTGAAACAGCGATTGGACATGTCACGAATTGTTCGAATCAGTGGATTTGGACATTTGGGTAAGTTAGTTTTTTTCTGTTATCGAAATTCATTTCCTACTGAAATATAGCTGTGGGCCATTCAACCAGATAGCGTATGTAGATTGAAGACTTAAAGTTTACGACAACTTATATTGGAATTTTTCCAATAGTTATGTTGCAAAAGTAAGAGATTTGATCGTTATGTCTACATCATATTTTCTGACGAATATGAGGTATAATCCGAGTCGAAAGCAGACGTTCGTCAGGTAGTACTTTGTGGACGGAGTCATATAAACTGTTTTGTGTCATGGTCCGGTAAACCACAATGTATCTGAGCGAAGCGACGTTACAATCGCGGTATATCAGGGGTATTAAGGGGGGCCCCATCACCTTTTTCAAGTCCCAGAAATATTTGCTGAAAAATTGTGCCGATTTTTTTAAATATCTTATTTTCGGTATAAAAAAAGTAAATACATAAGCCATCGTATTATTCCAATTTTACGACAGTTTTTTTCCTTCCATGAGTAAATTAGTAATTCCAAATCCCATGCGCTTGATTGCGCGGCAGATCGCATCGGGTACTTGAAGAAATGTTCAATACTATCGGAAATTATAGGAGTAGATACAATTTTTCGGATCGATGAAATGCAAAAATAGCCATGTTCACCAGAAAAAAACAAAAAAATGTTTGAAATATATTCATGTTTCAGAATCTAGTTATAATATCGTAAAAAAAACAAAACTTCTCCGCTCAATAGGTCTTTTCCTGTTTTTTGTTTGCTGTCTAACTTTTATTGTTTTGCTGTGCTTTTTATTGTATCGTGTCATTTAAATTCTACTGTTCGACATGCCTTGTAACATGAACATTGTCGGCGAACTCATTTTTGTCCTATCTTTTGCAATATACGATTCAAATTTCAACCCACAGAAGCGAGGAACTGCGTTGAACTCTCTAAAATCCTTATATTCAACATACAAATGGCCTCAGATACTGCTGTATCTGAGATCGTACTCAATACGTTGTGTAACGAGATTTTGTCGTTACTGAAAAACTGTTTTACCAACACGAAAACCCATGAATCAAGAATGGTTAGAGTGAGGGAAAGGGTAGGGAGCGACATCTAACGCCAGCTGAAGGAACTGAGTGCAAGATGAGAGTGACATCGAACACGGGTGTTTAAAGTTGAACTTAACCGCGCGTAAGGTGCATAGACCAATCAAATAATGCTAAGAGGCGTGGTTTGGGTGAAACCATGCTCCTGAAAATTATAGAGAGGCTGTCGATACGCTGTCGCCATATCTAGAAACTCGCCCAGCTGTGTTTGGGGTAAAATGGGCCAACCTACAGGCGTCCCAACTGGACGATTATAGAGGCGTTATCGACTGAGACTAGGGACCAAGGCTAGGTGACAGGACTAGCGCCCCCCTCGATTGCCGTCGAGCTGATTGGTGGTGGTGGGGTAACGGATGACCCACCGCCGCTGAGATGATCAGACTAGGGGGAGAAGGCCCTAGTAGATTTTGAGACAATCGGTGACAGATACTGGAGTCGAGCGGATGAATTTTCCGGTAACTCGGCACCGGCGTGAGTGGCAATGATCCGCATGGATTATATGGGTTCGTTGTGAGGACAAGATCCGAAACAGCGAGAGAATGGGACGCTTCGGCGTCCCAAACAGAATGATCAGATTACTTTGAGGACGTGGGATGTTTTAATTCCGTGTTCTCAGGGATCCATCACTTCGGACGAAAGAAGTGGTGATGGCATGGATCCGTGGGCCGGGAGTTAGACCGACTCCTGGAGGCCCGATCATACGTGCCTCCACGACGAGTAATCTGGGTGTTGGCCCGCGATGATAGTGCTTCTACCGAGCATTGACGTTGAGTTGGGGTAGGCATAGGTGGTTGAGAATAAGTCTCCGGATACCTGTGTCGCATGTGCCTCTCAATGTTCGGCGCTCCGAGGAATGAGAAGGATTCGCAGGTAATGGTTGACTTCTCCAGAGTTGAGCCACTCTGGAGAGAAAAAAAACACGTCTGAGGAATGGNTACTGCTGTATCTGAGATCGTACTCAATACGTTGTGTAACGAGATTTTGTCGTTACTGAAAAACTGTTTTACCAACACGAAAACCCATGAATCAAGAATGGTTAGAGTGAGGGAAAGGGTAGGGAGCGACATCTAACGCCAGCTGAAGGAACTGAGTGCAAGATGAGAGTGACATCGAACACGGGTGTTTAAAGTTGAACTTAACCGCGCGTAAGGTGCATAGACCAATCAAATAATGCTAAGAGGCGTGGTTTGGGTGAAACCATGCTCCTGAAAATTATAGAGAGGCTGTCGATACGCTGTCGCCATATCTAGAAACTCGCCCAGCTGTGTTTGGGGTAAAATGGGCCAACCTACAGGCGTCCCAACTGGACGATTATAGAGGCGTTATCGACTGAGACTAGGGACCAAGGCTAGGTGACAGGACTAGCGCCCCCCTCGATTGCCGTCGAGCTGATTGGTGGTGGTGGGGTAACGGATGACCCACCGCCGCTGAGATGATCAGACTAGGGGGAGAAGGCCCTAGTAGATTTTGAGACAATCGGTGACAGATACTGGAGTCGAGCGGATGAATTTTCCGGTAACTCGGCACCGGCGTGAGTGGCAATGATCCGCATGGATTATATGGGTTCGTTGTGAGGACAAGATCCGAAACAGCGAGAGAATGGGACGCTTCGGCGTCCCAAACAGAATGATCAGATTACTTTGAGGACGTGGGATGTTTTAATTCCGTGTTCTCAGGGATCCATCACTTCGGACGAAAGAAGTGGTGATGGCATGGATCCGTGGGCCGGGAGTTAGACCGACTCCTGGAGGCCCGATCATACGTGCCTCCACGACGAGTAATCTGGGTGTTGGCCCGCGATGATAGTGCTTCTACCGAGCATTGACGTTGAGTTGGGGTAGGCATAGGTGGTTGAGAATAAGTCTCCGGATACCTGTGTCGCATGTGCCTCTCAATGTTCGGCGCTCCGAGGAATGAGAAGGATTCGCAGGTAATGGTTGACTTCTCCAGAGTTGAGCCACTCTGGAGAGAAAAAAAACACGTCTGAGGAATGGGAACATCCTCGGCGAAAGATACAGGGAGAAATGTCTCCTGGAAAATACGCTTTATCGAGATCTCTCGGCTGAAAACCCGAAGATCGTTCGAGTGAATTACTCCTAGTATGGTGGACCTCGCCCATTCTCCCGTATTACGCTGATGCTGACTCGGCATAGTTAGTCCCGCCACGAGAAGTCCTCAGGTTAGATGAGTTATCCTCTGAGGCCGATTTACCGTTGGATTTTCCGTGAAAATCCAGCTGGCGCCCAACAATTGAGCGATAGAGAAGATGTCAAACTAGTTTGGGATCTCTGGTGGTGAAGCACCAGAATAAATCCCTTACAGTTGTCTAGATGCACTCACCTGTTTCTGGCATAGGCGCCAAATCATGCGGTGCAAGCCTTCATTATCATTCTACGTGTGTCCTAATGAACAACGTTTAAGCAGAGCAGGATTGAAAACACGTATGTGATCCGATAGCAGTCTGTCAAGAAAGCGTGGTATCACGAGGGTACCACGAGGGTACGTATTTCTTATGAGGTCTTGGATTTTGATTTGCTGCAATGGCTTCTTCATAAAAACACCGCGAACTAATTCCAGTAGAACACCGATCGTTTTAAGGTTTTTTATCGATAGAAATGGCATGATACAGCGGTGAAAATATTACTTTTTGCATGGTATCCACATTGCTACTCTCTTTTCGAACGGCGTTTCGATAATATTCTGTTAATTTCCAAATAGTCGCATTCTTTAGAGATTCATAGCTCTTACTCCTAGAGTGATACCAAGAGTCTTACGATCAAAGACAACTCAAGAGTCTACCAAATCTGTAAATATTGAGAACTCGCTAAGTACTCCCTCCAGACTTGATAATATCTTCTTGTAATGAAAAAAAAATATCACCCTTTTCCTGTATGATTATCACACTCCTTTTTCGATGTGAAGATTCTCATTCCCTTTTTTGATGGGAATGAGACTCTTCACTCAACTCAATTTTTACCAAAACACAGCGATTGCAATATTTTGACATAGTCACTACATCCACAATGTAGCCAGTGTCAATATCGATAACCTAATCTAACCAATCGATAACCTCGAGTTAGTCATAAACGATCAATAATAGGAACAAAATCCTCATTTTCTCTTTTATAGGAATTTCTGACTGATTCGCTTGCTTTTTCCAAGGCTTCTGCCAATGCTTCCATAACTGAACCATTCACAATAAGTCGATTGTTACAGAAACACGTGGCAGACATCGGACTAATATACCTAATGAGTAAAAATTATTCAATAGCGGAATGCCGACGACCAATATGGAAAAAAGCTGATATCATTCTCAAATTCATGTCAGAGACATAAATATTTGTACTTGTTTTGATTCTTGAAGGTGAATGTTGTAATTCGCGTTTTATGCAGTTCACTTTCTGCACAGTATGCACAGATCACATCAATTTTGCTCTCAAACCCATGGCCTGGCTAATACGAATGTCCAGTGACATCGAATCACACTACAGACATTGGAGTTTCGCGAATGAAATTGATAATAATGATTTCTGAATCATCAAATACTCATCCGATTCGGTACTCCGGTCTGAGGCAATCTGCGGATTCGCATTATTGTCAATATTTTTTCCGCATCAGTAGAGTCGGAAATATTCTAGTTTTTCTGAAAATACTTCACATGGAAGATCTTCAAAAATACGCAACCGATTTCACTTTTTCTTTTGTCAAAACATTCGCTAGGCACCTTCTAACTAAATCATGTACCCGTTCATTCAAAGTTTTCGGGATATTCCCGCTTTTCCGTCTTTTCATAAAAAAAAATATTTGTAAGCGCTGTAGCTTGTGCAAAAATTGGACTATCAACTTGAAATTTTCGCCAGAATATATGTATACCCGCTCAACGACGTATTCGAAATATTGGAATTTTGATAGCTTCCATGGAGGT